TATATATATGTAATGCATAGAAGGGATTTCCTGTTAAAATATATTTAATATATTTTATTACATATATGTGTGTATTATAGTATCTATTATAAACGCAAAATGCAAAAAATTATCATAAGCAAAATAAAATGACGCAGAAAGACAAACATAATACATCACAAAAGTAAAATGCCAAGCTCTTTCTGAGTAATACATTTTGTATGTTACAATCATTATTTATTCAAGCTAATTAGAGCAACTGCATAGTAATATGAATGGTCGAAGTTTGACAAGTTAATTTGCATATCTGAACAATATCTTACGAAGGTTGGAGGTGGATATGTTATATATAAACGTGTGAGTTTTAGTTTGAAAAAATATTATCATTGAAAAATCGTGAAGTGTAATACATCACAACACAATGTTCAAAATTATCACTATAAGTTGCGTTATTGTAGCCGTTTCTGTAAGTATCATGATCTTAAATCTAAAATAGTTGTTTGCATCATAAAAATTGAAAATAAAATTGAACATATTAAATTTTCAATAAAATGATAACTAGAGATATTTTGGTTGGTATTTGATTATTATATTACAATTTCTATATATATATAAAATGATAATAATTCTCTCTCTTATTGAAAATAATTACATATATGTCTGCCACATGTTTTGTACTAATACATTTATTCATTTAATTTCAGCTCAACTTCCAAAAAGTAAGAGGTTTTAATCTGTTACCTCCCATACCGCATATTATATCAAGAGAACCTTCAACTAATCCTCCAATAATAGTGAGTGATGACATTCCAGATCTTAAAAATGATGCATCAAAAATAAACGTAAGTTTTAACATAAATTTAACTATCAAAACGTAAAGCGCAAATACGATGGTAGATCGAAAAGTAACTTGGTTCGTGTATTTTCTATGTGGGAGAACGACAAATATATATGTCATCGTATAGTTCCATTCTTCTTAAGAATGCATGTAAAGTTTGCTGCCAAATATTATTCGTTCGAGTTATTTGAACACAAGCGTCTTTTTTAAATTTAAAACCATTGTCTGTTATTTTGAACCAAGTTACTTTTCTCGATCCACCCTCGTATATCAAATTATATCATTAAGTTATTTCTGATTCGATTATTTCATGTCTGCGAAAGAATAAATAGTCAATAATTAGTAATTGTCATAATTAGTAATTGTCAAGCAATTGCTAGAAGAAACATCGAATTTTTTTTATTACATCAGTTTTTTATATTATATTCGCAGAAATAGAGCTTATAATTTTTTTATTCGACATTCGTATCGGATTATATTTCTCAAATGCAGTACTTATGTTTAATTTACGCGTTGAATGCAAATTGCTTGTATTAGAAATAGCAAAAGTAGAAATAATACGAAAAAAGTTTCGTGATATGCCGATATTAATACTGCATAATCACAATAAATTAATAAAGAATAATATTGTTTTATTGTTCTCCGATTGTTTTGCTGTTCTCCGCGAATTTCGTAATATCACGTAATCTAATAAAGTTAATAGAATAAATTCGCATTTCTAAAAAAAATATCAAGTTTATTGTTAACTGAGACATATAAAACTCTAAACACATTTACCTCACGCATGTTTTGGTTTATTTATTTCGAAGCATAATCTTTTTTCTAGTTTTCTTCCTTCTCATCTAATTGCCTAAGAAGAATTAAATTTTATGGAAATGTTTCTCTTTGATATAATAACACTTAAAAAAATGTGAAATATTAATATTTTTTAAATATTTATTGACAGTTTGGCATCGAGGATGTTTTACAAGGATACCTAAACAAAGTCCAGAATGCTAATGTTGTATGCACTAAACTCTATAATGAGGGACGTGAGACTGTCATTCAATTGTCATCGACTTTTAGTTCCTGCTTAAGGAATAGAAATGAAACGCTTTCGGCCAATGCAAACATAAAAAAATTGACCGATCTGGCAAATGATGTGCAGAGAAGTCTAACGAAAGATGTGGATAATATGTTACAACACCTCCAGAACCCTTTCGATATAACTTCGTTCCTCAATATAATAAACGTAAATATTTTAATATTTATTTTTATTCTACTCATCTTAAATTTTAAAGTCTTTGATAATAAAGTAAAATTTTCAAACTATTTAAACTATACATATAATCAAAAATATTTAAATTTGTTTTAATATACCAAGAAATTACCAATTTTTTCTGCAATTGATAGAATTGTGATTGTTAGAAAAACTTTTCAAAAAATCTCTAATATACTTAACATATTCACTTTTTCAGAGAAACTTAGTTGATATAAACATCAGTGAACTTGTTCGTGTTGCGATATCTGAAATTCTTACGGTTTTTCCCTTCAATTTGATCCGTCTTCTCCCAGATGTGACAAGATGCTATGAAAACCTATCTCATAAATTTAACTTAGAACATACCTGTGGACTTTTCGCCGATACGGGACACTGCATTCAAAGCATTGTGGAAATATTCATATAAATTATTCAATTAATATGTGAGCATTCACTCTATATTAATATACTACACTATATGTATTATTATAAATACATATTATTGTTACGAATGTATGAGCAAGATTCTTTTCTTCATAATATGCAAAGCACTATATGTATAAGTAATTATATGCACATATCTTCAAAAATGTAAAAGTTAATAAATAACATTAACAAAATATTATCATAACTATATTTATCTTTTAAATAAAAAAGATAGCTTTAAGGAACTAATAAAAATAAATATAAAAATGTAATAATCTAACAAAAAATTTTAGTAATTTTATTATATGTCTTATTATAGTATTTATCAATTTTATATAACAGAATGTTTTTCTGAAAAATTTTTCAAAGAAATAAAACTTAAGTAAGAAGATATATAGAAAAATTTCTTCGATTGTAAAAAGTAATAAAACTATGCATAATCAATTTAAGTAATAGAGTTTGAATGCCTTGATTGTAATCAATAAATGCAAATAGCATATAAGCATGAGAAAGAGTAACCTAAAGAAGAGTTTGGTAGAATAAAAAAAGACTGAAAAAAATGATGTAAATGAGAGAATAAATAAGAAAGAATCTAAAAATGAAAAATATCTTATACGTGTGGGCTTAAACATAATATACATGACAAAATCGGTATAATGGGCGCGACATATAAAATCGTCGTTGACGTCGATTATGAGAGAAGAGACGAAGAACCAATCAATGTCACCATTGAACCACAACGCTCACATTGTTTTCGTTACAGGAGACTACACAATAATCAGACAGTGAAAGAGGCGTTGTGTATGCTCACGTTAACCGTGTCCACGTTAATCAGAAAGTATCATCTCGCATTGTTTCGCTAGACTTTATTCTCTGTCAAACAACGATAATTCTTTTTTTTTTTTTTTATAACAACGGTTTTGTCATTTTGTATTCATTTTGTTTGAAAGGTATTACAAACAAACGATAGCGATCAGATGAATCAGAGATCACTGCTCTCAGCACCCGCGATTACTCATCGTTGAGTAATTGTATTAATTATAATAATATGACTCATATCGTATACAAAAAAAAAAAAAAACAGAACAAGTAATATATGGTGCGACTGTATCTTCATGACGTATGCGCATAATTAGTGACTGCAAGAAAAAGCGTGAAATATCATCAAAAATATAAAAAAAATAATATTATTATTAATTTATATTATTTACATTATTATATTATTATTATATAATTGCGCGCTTTTAACAATCATAGTCACTGATATTCATATTAATTAATTTTGTTAACAAATAATTGTGATTACAAAAAAAGCAGCAAAAGAATTGAGCAAGAATTGAAACAGATATAATTTCCGTGAGTTCAATCTCTAATGCTATAGATATACGGGGAAGTCTTTTATGTTGATTGTAACGTTTTCACATTATCAGAAATAAATTTATCACATTCACTTTTTATGTCTTCGTATTTACGGCATCGAATCTATACTTAACGAAATTATACCAATTTTAATTCTTGCTTCAGATTAGTATCATATTTTCATGGACAAGCATTATAATTTGAAAGATTAGTATCACATATTAATATCTGGATTTTATATATGCTGCGCTAGATTTTTTCTTATAATGTGCACATATTGTGCGTATACGAGCCATCTGGTAATCGATAATGCTATTAGTCATAGAAAAAGAAAAATGATTATGTTAACGCATATTTCATTTATTGTCATATTTACGTTTGCGTTAAGCAATAAATTGTCGTATCCCTCCGAATAAATTTTTTCGATAAAATTTTTCTGTTTTCTGTTAATAAACAAATTTTTTGTGATTATTATAATAGTGATTAAAAAATTGGTTGTAATAAAAAAGTTTAATCATGTTTAGGAAAATATGTAGTCATAGTAACATTTTTATAATCTATAAGAGCAAAGTTCTTTTTTCTCATGTATACATTTGCATATTTTTCGCTGCATATATATCTAGAATTAAGACGAGCATTAAAATGTATACGGCTATTCTTTAAATAAAATTAAAATATTTCCTTTTCTTATTAAAATATCTTTTAAATTTCGCATTTGCAATATCTTTTTTACAATTATTATTTTTCAAATTATATGAATAAACAGTTTGAAATTCTTATAAAATAACATAAAAAGCAAAATGATCTACTCGGACAAAGCGCTTTATCAACAAACTTGTCGCAAAAACTAGTAATGTAAAGCAAGATGCATGAATAAAGTTGATCAATTTTTTGTTCGAATCGTATCTTCATTATTGACAACGCCTGACTAAAGTCAAACCTATCTACACCGTGTATAGAAGGAATGACTGCGCCTATGGCACAATCTGCCTTGTCTGCTTTTATAATGCTTTCATAAGATACTGCAAATTCATCGTTTCATAAAAAATTATTCTTTATTTTGACAATAAATAAAACTCTCTTTCGCGTGTTCCTCTTTTTGTAAATATTGCAACATATTATAAAATAAATATTTCTAACTGTCTCTCTCTCTTTCTTATATATAATTATTTCTTTTAATTAAACGATACTTTAGCACATTTTTCATTTAATAAAGAAATATTATAATTTACTTAAAAAAATGTTGGATATCTGTGTTAATAATATCAAAAATCTGTTCTTATTTAAAATAGGTGTATGAAAAATGTATGGTATATAAATAAAAATTGAAAAAAGAAAAATAAATAATTAATGTGAATAAAAGTATTTATATTTTTGTTCAAACTAATGTCTTTCCAAATTGCTGCACTCGTTCTTTTAAAAATGACCAATAATTAATTAAAGAAATGTTTCGTAATTATGAAAACAATGCCATCTTAAACGAGGCGCATTTAAAATTCTTTTGGTCCTCTAACTTGTATATCAGCATTTTTCTTTTTTCAGTTGATAAAACGATAAGAGGTGTCCCAACTTTCTTGAGTCTATAATGAAATGTATCCAATACAATTGGAAGAAAATACATATATATGTAGAGAATAAGTTCATAAAAGAAAATCAAGGCATGAGGACGTTACGTGCAGTACTATTTTTTTACGAGTTTGTTTGCACAAACTTTCTTCTCCAAATAAAATTATGGAAAACTTATTACGTTTTCGACGTAAAAATATTATCGTGTGTTGAAATGGAGATCGATAAAAAAATAAAAGCATTTTTAAATTATACATCATTATTTTAAATTATACATTAAATATCATCTTACAATTAGTATTTTTCCCATTACGACAAAATTCTGCTATTAAAACTTGTATGAATTGATTCTAAACGAGCAAATAGATAATAATGTAGTATCATCTTCAAACATAGGTAAATGTATTTCGAAGAATTAAGTCTTTAAAAAGTGAAACCATATACATTCGAATAAAATTGAATTTATTGATATTATTCATAATTCATGCATACATAGTTTTAAAAAAATTGTAATTATTCTCTCAGATTTAATTCATAATTAATTATATTTAGTTTGCAATTAAATGCACAAATAATAAAATCGTGATTATAGATTGCTATGAAATATTTTAATTTCATTTCTTTTATGCGCATAAGCGCTGCGATGAATATTAAAACGAAGTATTCATATATTCCGTATATGCACGGTTTTATAGTATTACTAGGAACTATCGTAAACGAGGATAAAACCGCAAAAATTCATGCAAACCACAAGATATGATTGTGGAGCCGACGTAAAGCTGATAAAAAACATAACAGTTTACACGCTCGCTCTATACGAACGATCCATTAACCCATTTAGTTACACAAAAATAGATTATAAAATACAAGATATAATAACTCTTTAGTTCTTTGTATTGTAAATTATATTATTTTGATATTATAAAATTATTTGAACAATTTTTTCGTGTGACACTTTTATTAAATAGAAATTATTCATTATTATATATAGTATATACGAGAAATTGGCATTAGAGAACCGTCGCGAACAAGAAGATTAATGACTTGCTCCGACAGAAGCAAATCGTTTCTCGAATAGCAACTAAATTTCCATTTATATAGCCATTCAAAGGTTTTAATTTATTATTTTAGTTTTAGCATATCGGGAGAAAAAATCAATGCTTTGTAAAATTCAAAGATAGTTGGCAATTGTAATAACATTTCGCAATATTTCAAAAAATATATATATCCTTTTTTATGTACCGCATCATATGTTTTAGCTAACACACCATGTACTCATAGAAATATTAATTATATATATACGTAAATATTGTAACAATTTTAATTAAAAGTTATATTTTATATGAAATTCTTTTAATAGTAACGCACAATTAAATTTTAAGGAGATGTTTCCTTTAGAAAATGTTTTAAATAAACATTTTGAGAAATATATATATATTTAAAAAAAAAAACTTAAAAAATATCCATATATCAAATAAAAGATAAAATATCAATATTCAGAATCATATATACAATCAAAAGTTTTGATTTGAAAAAATCATCCACGAACATTTAGCATGGATTTTAAAAATTAAACAAAGACAATTGAAGGATAAAAAGAAATTTGTTGCTACACACTTTCTAGAGAAAAATGAGAATTCCTCTATCATATAGGACAATATAGCATGAGATTCAACAACGTGCGTCTGGGGTCCTCTGACGAGTTTCATCAACGATCGGGCAAGAACGCGTGTCTTGTGTTACGATAAAAGGATAGTGGCAAAATGAGAAAACGGTAAAAAAAGATATCATAGAAGGAGTTGCCCTACTGCGTTATCCCTCCTTGACGATCCACCCGCTCCGAAAATCAATACGTACCGCGTTACGGCGAATTGGTCAGCAAGTGCAAGAAGAAAACAGATCCAATAGATACAAGTGCTAATAGACTGCTGAGTTTACGTTATAATTGTAAAAGCTGATACACAATTATTTTCGAATTAGAAGTATATTTTTTCTATTACGTTTTCTACTCTTGATTGTATAAAAATATTTTTTGTCATGCTGTGTTATCTTTAATAATGATTGTACAATCCAAGTTCAATCAATCAATTCCTTTAAACAGAATCAAAAGCAAAAAATAAAATATATATATA